TGTGCTGGAAGGAAGGGGGGAGGGGTAAGAGAGAGGGTAGCAAGTTTACCTTTCAAAGAACTTCACAAGTGAAAAGGAAAGAATTACTCTTGGATTACGCTCATAGACGTCTAGCAGTCCTTCTACAGTAGGCTGTTTTTCTGCAGCTTTTCATATTCCTCGTTATTACTGGACACACATGAAAGCTGGCAGTATTTATTTTCATGTAGAAGTCCCTAAAAGTCACGTTTGAAGGAGACCTGCTTATGTTGTTCCAATAAAGTTACCAGAACTAGGCCAAAACTGGAGTCTGGAGTACTCCATCCGTCAGAGCCGGGGTAAAAAGGCTCCGAGGGTCACAGCAAGACTGCCCATCCCTCTACTCCACCGGTGTGCCAAAACCTGGAGTACTCCATCCATCAGAACCGGGGTAAAAAGGGCTCCGAGGGTCACAGCAAGACTGCCCATCCCTCTACTCCACCGGTGTGCCAAAACCTGGAGTGGAGTACTCCATGCCATCAGAGCCGGGGTAAAAAGGGCTCCGAGGGTCACAGCAAGACTGCCATCCCTCTACCCACCGTTTGTGCCAAAACCTGGAGTGTGGAGTACTCCATCATCAGAGCCAAGGTGAAAGGGCTCCGGGGTCACAGCAAGACTGCCCATCCCTCTACTCCACCGGTGTGCCAAAACCTGGAGTACTACAATCATAAGAGCTGTAAAGAAAGGGCTCCGGGGTCACAGCAAGACTGCCCATCCCTCTACTTCACTGGTGTGCCAAAACTGGAATGTGGAGTACTCCATGCATCAGAGCTGAGGTGAAAGGGCTTCGGGGTCACAGCAAGACTTCCCATCCCTCTACTTCACTGGTATGCCAAAACCGAAGTACTCCATGCATCAGAGCTGAGGTGAAAGGGCTCCGGGGGTCACAGCAAGACTGCCAATCCCACCGTTGTGCCAGAACCTGGAGTGTGGAGTACTCCATGCATCAGAGCTGAGGTGAAAGGGCTCCGAGGGTCACAGCAAGACTGTCCATCCCTCTACTCCACTGGTGTGCCAAAAACCTGGAGTACTACAATCATAAGAGCTGTAAAGAAAGGGCTCCGGGGGTCACAGCAAGACTGCCCATCCCTCTACTTCACTGGTATGCCAAAACCTGGAGTACTCCATGCATCAGAGCTGAGGTGAAAGGGCTTCGGGGGTCACAGCAAGACTGCCCATCCCTCTACTTCACTGGTATGCCAAAACCCGGAGTACTCCATGCATCAGAGCTGAGGTGAAAGGGCTCCGGGGGTCACAGCAAGACTGCCATCCCTCTACTTCTCACTGGTGTGCCAAAACCTGGAGTACTCCATGCATCAGAGCTGAGGTGAAAGGGCTCCGGGGGTCACAGCAAGACTGCCCCATCCCTCTACTCCACTGGTGTGCCAAAACCTGGAGTACTCCATGCATCAGAGCTGAGGTGAAAGGGCTCCGGGGGTCACAGCAAGACTGCCCCCATCCCTCTACTCCACTGGTGTGCCAAAACCTGGAGTACTCCATGCATCAGAGCTGAGGTGAAAGGGCTCCGGGGGTCACAGCAAGACTGCCCATCCCTCTACTCCACTGGTGTGCCAAAACCTGGAGTACTCCATGCATCAGAGCTGAGGTGAAAAAGGGCTCCGGGGGTCACAGCAAGACTGCCCATCCCTCTACTTCACTGGTATGCCAAAACCCGGAGTACTCCATGCATCAGAGCCAAGGTGAAAGGGCTCCGGGGGTCACAGCAAGACTGCCCATCCCTCTACTTCACTGGTGTGCCAAAACCTGGAGTACTCCGAAGCGAAGCTAGAAAGTGCAATGACATCAGATCTCTTTAATGTGGAGAGGACTCTGGATGCCAACATACACAAGGCTGTGCCCAGCAGAACATTACAACACCCAAGAGCATGTGATCACTTTCTGCTGCATCAAACAGAAAAAGCATTAGTGTGTACTGCAGACTATCCCTCCAGTATATATATATATATATATATATATATATATCACATCATTGCACTCTACTGCAGACGTCAGACTCTCCGCTCAAACATGGCAGAATTCCTCATTTTGAGTTCAGGTCCAAGTTATAGAACAGAGGCTAAATGGTTAGCACTTCCCCCTGGCAGTACTCGGGTCGTCTGTTCGAATTCCAGCCACGGCACCACCGGCCTGAAGTTTGCATGTTCTCCCTGTGCCTGCGTGGGTTTCCTCCGGGTACTCCGGTTTCCTCCCACACTCCAAAGACATGCTGGGAGGTGAATTGGCTCCTGTCTATATTGTCCCTAGTATGTGTATGTATGAATGTGGGTTACGGACCTTAGATTGTACGCCCCTCGGGGGCGGGGGGGACTGATGTGAATGTACAATATATATGTAAAGCGCGGCGTAAATTGATGGCGCTATTTAAGTACCTGAAATAAATAAATGTCAATGTCACCCTCCATCTCCATTGTGACCCCGCCCAGTCATCATGGGAGCAGCCCCGCTCCTCTACCACAATGGCCGCCTCCCCAGAGACGGTACAGATAAAAGGTGAGCCAAGTCCATAACGGGAAGATCAGCTGCGGGGAATCCCGGGAAGTATGGAGCCCAGTCCTCTGCTCTCGTCTCATTTGTGGGGAAGCTCCCGCAGTACAGGTCCTCTTTAGTGAATGGCTGGGCAGCTCTATGCGATCTCAGTGACATTTGTGAAGAGGACCGGTCTTCTGGTTTGTTACTGCAGAGAAATCTGCTATTGCTTAAACAAACTGAGCTACACAATTCGGGAGGAATCCAGTCGTCCAGCTCTAGTGCAGACCTCCCCGCTGAGGACAAACACCGGTCTGTATTCTGATATACTGCACAGGAAGCACTATACCGACCGCTCACAGGATAGAGAGGGGAGCACTGGGCACTATATACCGACCGCTCACAGGATAGAGGGGAGCACTGGGCACTATACCGACCGCTCACAGGATAGAGGGGAGCACTATACTGACCCCTCACAGGATAGAGGGGAGCACTATACTGACCCCTCACAGGATAGAGGGGAGCACTGGGCACTATACTGACCCCTCACAGGATAGAGGGGAGCACTGGGCACTATACTGACCAATCACAGGATAGAGGGGAGCACTGGGCACTATACTGACCAATCACAGGATAGAGGGGAGCACTGGGCACTATACCGACAGCTCACAGGATAGAGGGGAGCACTGGGCACTATACCGACCGCTCACAGGATAGAGGGGAGCACTGGGCACTATACTGACCCCTCACAGGATAGAGGGGAGCACTGGCACTATACCGACCCCTCACAGGATAGAGGGGGAGCACTATACCGACCGCTCACAGGATAGAGGGGAGCACTATACCGACCGCTCACAGGATAGAGGGGAGCACTATACTGACCCCTCACAGGATAGAGGGGAGCACTGGGCACTATACCGACCGCTCACAGGATAGAGGGGAGCACTATACTGACCCCTCACAGGATAGAGGGGAGCACTATACTGACCCCTCACAGGATAGAGGGGAGCACTGGGCACTATACTGACCCCTCACAGGATAGAGGGGAGCACTGGGCACTATACTGACCCCTCACAGGATAGAGGGGAGCACTATACTGACCCCTCACTGGATAGAGGGGAGCACTATACTGACCCCTCACAGGATAGAGGGGAGCACTACACTGACCCCTCACAGGATAGAGGGGAGCACTATACTGACCCCTCACAGGATAGAGGGGAGCACTATACCGACCCCCTCACAGGATAGAGGGGAGCACTGGGCACTATACCGACCCCTCACAGGATAGAGGGGAGCACTGGGCACTATACCGACCACTCACAGGATAGAGGGGAGCACTATACCAACCCCTCACAGGGCACTATACCAACCCTCACAGGATAGAGGGGAGCACCACCATATCGACCGCTCATAGGATAGAGGGGAGCACTGGGCACTATATGACCTCTCACAGGATAGAGGGGAGCACTGGGCACTATACCGACCCCTCACAGGATAGAGGGGAGCACTGGGCACTACTATACCGACCCCTCACAGGATAGAGGGGAGCACTGGGCACTATACCGACCCCTCACAGGATAGAGGGGAGCACTGGGCATTATACCGACCGCTCACAGGATAGAGGGGAGTACTGGGCACCATATCGACCGGGATAGCACTGGGCACTATACCGACCGCTCACAGGATACAGGGGACTGCACTATACTGACCCCTCACAGGATAGAGGGGAGCACTGGGCACTATACTGACCCCTCACAGGATAGAGGGGAGCACTATACCAACCCCTCACAGGATAGAGGGGAGCACTATACCGACCCCTCACAGGATAGAGGGGAGCACTGGGCACCATATCGACCCTCACAGGATAGAGGGGAGCACTGGGCACTATATAACCTCTCACAGGATAGAGGGGAGCACTGGGCACTATACCGACCCCTCACAGGATAGAGGGGAGCACTGGGCACTATACCGACCCCTCACAGGATAGAGGGGAGCACTGGGCACTATACCGACCCCTCACAGGATAGAGGGGAGCACTGGGCACTATACTGACCCCTCACAGGATAGAGGGGAGCACTGGGCACTATACCGACCCCTCACAGGATAGAGGGGAGCACTGAGCACTATACCCGACCCCTCACAGGATAGAGGGGAGCACTATACCGACCCCTCACAGGATAGAGGGGAGCACTATACCGACCCCTCACAGGATAGAGGGGAGCACTATACCGACCCCTCACAGGATAGAGGGGAGCACTGGGCACTATACTGACCCCTCACAGGATAGAGGGGAGCACTATACCGACCCCTCACAGGATAGAGGGGAGCACTGGGCACTATACTGACCCCTCACAGGATAGAGGGGAGCACTGGGCACTATACTGACCCCTCACAGGATAGAGGGGAGCACTGGGCACTATACTGACCCCTCACAGGATAGAGGGGAGCACTGGGCACTATACGGACTGTTCATTAGATCGTTGCCCTGCTCTTACCTTTGGCAGTTTGGGGGTCTCTCTCTTTTTCTTCTTTTCGGGATTGGTGTCATCTAGCAGATCCGGCTCAAACGAGTAGAGCTCTGTGAGCTCGTTCATGGTGAAGTGACGTTCGATCTGTTGCTGGTCCACGACCCGATATGATAAGGATTGCTTGGTGACCTGCCGATCATAGATCTTCTCTTCCATAGTTCCCTAAAAAGAAACATTGTATATAGGTTACTCTTCTACAGTGATACCGGTGTACAGCTCAGTGAGCACAACGATCTCCACCATGGGGACAGATCGGAGTTTCATCGAACATTTGTTACCCTCATTACATGATAGGAAGGTGAATAATAGAACTTCCATGACAAAATCTTCAGTCTTACTCCAATGAGTTGCAGGAAAAATGAATTCCCCCCCCCCCCCCCACACACACAACAAGGACTCCTCCATCGAGTATTCTGTAGGACCTCCATGATCTGTAAGGACGGCACCGAGTATTCTAAGCATGGAATGAACAAGTTGGTGACATATTGGAACATCGATCTTTTTACATTCTTCCAGAACGACCTCCCAGAGCCGGGATGCTGGATGGAGAGCGATGCTCAGCTTGTCTCCTCAGATCCTTCCATAGGTGTTGGATTGGGTTCAGATCAGGAGATAGACTTGGCCCCGGAATCCCTTCAGAAATACAACAGTGGCCTCAGATGTTTAGGATCGTTCTCATTCTTGACGGCCGAGAACACGGAGTGACGGGAGCAGCTTCTTTTTCCATATAGAGCAGTACATCTGTGAATTCATGACACCATCAATGAAATGCAGCTCTCTGACACCAGCAGCACTCATGCAGCCCCACAGGACACTGCCACCACCACGTTTCACAGTAGGCATCATGCATTTTTCTTGGTACTCCTCACCTTTGTGACGCCATACAGTTATGAAGCCATCAGTTTCAAAAACATTTATCTTGGTCCCATCACTCCAGAGTACAGAGTCCCGGTAGTCGTCTTTTTCAGCATGGGCGCTGGCAAATTCTAGGCGGGCTTTAGAAGAGGCTTCCTTCAAGGACGACACCCATGCATGCCATTCCTCTGCAGCATACGCCGTATTGTGTCACGGGAAACCATCACCCCAGTTTGGCTCTCTACTTCTCTAGCTAACTGAAATGACCTTGGATGGCGATTTTCTTCATCCTTCTCATCAGAAGATTCTCGAGGTGTTCCCTTCCGTGGACGGCCTGGACGTCTCTGTGAGATGGTTGCGGTTCCATCCTTGTTACATTTTTGTATCACTTTTGCTCCAGTATTCTGACTGTTAAGTAAAGCTTTGCTGATCTTCTTGTAGCCTTCATCTTTCTGGTGTCAAGAAATGATTTCCTTTCTCAGGTCTTGTGACTTTTCTCTTCCATGTGGTGCCATTGTTGACAGCATGAAATGGGCGGGGTTTTCTTTGTTCGGTAACTCCCTTTTATAATCACCTGTCTGCTGGACACCTGCATAATCAATATTTACTCCCCTGGAGTTGAATTCTTGTTTGTTCATTAGGATTTTGCCTAAAATTCAGCTTTGCACACAAGACTTTTATTGGGGTGTGTTCATTTTTGCAATATGGTCTGGGATAAATTTGTTAAGAAAAATACTTGTGTGTGCAAATGAACAAATCTTGTGTGCAATCAATGGCCGGCATTTGTGGGAGGATTTTTTAGTTTAGTGTCCCATAGAAAATGTGGATTCTGAAAGAAAGTGTGTGTGTGTCTCTCTCGATATACATACACACATATATATCTATATATCTCACACATACATGTACACGTGCAATTTCTTACAGACCTGTGCCAAGAACCTGTAGACGAAGACCGCCTTGGTCTGGCCGAATCGGTAGACCCGGAAGATACTCTGTATATCATACGATGGATTCCATGAAGCATCGAAGATAATGACCCGATTAGCAGCCACCAGATTGATGCCGAGGGATCCGGCCTTGGTAGAGATGAGGAAGAGACGTCCCCTGGAACGATGAGAAAACACGGCATGACGTTTCTAGGAGATGGACAGAGCAAAGGGGGCGGAGCTCTACTAGACACGACATGCACCACCATACCTCACGTTGGTGACATCGTTGAACTCCTCGGCCCACTTCTTCCGGGTCTGGGCAGTGGTTGAACCGTCTAGTCGGTAGTAGTCAATATTCCTGAACCACTTCCCTTCACCTGGAAAGATTCAGAGACTTATGAGAGGAAATCAGATCCTGCAATGTTCCTCTATAGCAGGGGGTGTCAAACCGGCGACCTTCCAACTGTTGTGAAACTACAAGTCCCAACATGCCTCTGCCTTTAGGAGTCATGCTTGCAACTGTCAATCTTGCAATGCCTCATGGGACTTGTAGTTTGGAGGGCTGCCAGTTTGACACCCATGCTGTAGAGAATCCATTGATAATGTTACATCTGCATCTACAGACGTGTCCACAGACCTGACCCTGTGCTGGGTGGAGATCGCTGGTCACCTCCAGGTTGTCATAGTAATTGCAGCTTATCACACGAGGGGGGGGGGGGGGGGTGGGGTTATACTTACCTGCTGTGTAAAATGATATTGCATCGGGCAATCCCTTAACTCCTATTTGGCATCCCCCCCCACGGCACTGTCTGCTCCTCCCCATCCAGTTGTCTCCATTGCAAGTCAGGTGTAAAGGAGGTAACCATGTGCATGCGCTCCTGCGCTGGGCTATGTGCATCCATAGACACACACAGCGCCGGTAAGCTACTCCCCCTCCTGACAGCAAATTGCAGCAACGGCACGGGGCGCCGCAGCAGAGGGACGGCACGGGGCGCCGCAGCAGAGGGACGGCACGGGGGCGCCGCAGCAGGGGACGGCACGGGGCGCCGCAGAGGGGACGGCACGGGGCGCCGCAGCAGAGGGACGGCACGGGGCGCCGCAGCAGAGGGACGGCACGGGGCGCGGCACGCATTCATCCACATTAGGGTTTCATCTGGAGGAAGGTCAGCCCTGTAGATGTATAAATCTGCACAGACTCATTACCATGCGTGGACTTTTATGTGCCGTATATATAGTCTATAACGATGGGGTTCATTGTGTAGATTCAGCCTCATATGCGGTTTCATGAAGCGGAGAGGAGTCCCGTGCTCACACCGCGGTGACTGATCGGGATACGGGTCCCAGTCCTGGGATGGTGGCACAGACAGCCGGTAGGAGATATGTTTCCAATTAGGTGGAGATACGTTTCCTCCCGCAATCTGCACTCTAATAAATGAAGTGCCTTCCAGGTCTAATTATTTTTTGCACTGAAATGCAGAACAGCTGCTTGTGCTTAATTAGACTAATAATTATGGTGCGTCTTTGTTCCAGATGTGGACAGAACGAACCTTCGGCTCCGAGCTCATTATCGCTCACCGAAAGGTCTCCTCCACTTCATTCTCAGACGTTTGTGGGGCTCTGATCTGTGTCATGCAGCACTGTCATCACTGAGACTACGGGCTGAATCCTTTCCAAATCACGGTCACAGATTCAAAAGGCCAAGAACACAGACGATGCAGTCTGGGTCCCCCAGGAACCCCACCAGAACTAAGCCCCCCAAATGGGGAAGGGGGGGGGAATCAGCCCATCCTGTCCGACCCGGAGGAGTCCACTCCCATCATCCCAGGACTGAGTGGGAAGTGTCACTTCTCCATGGACAATAGAGCCACGTCCTCCATAACAGCCAAGGCTCCAGATCTGTCGGTGGGGATCGGACCATTCCTCAGGACAGGTGAAGGCCGTTTACTAACCGGCTCAAGTGAATGAATGCCAACAGAAGGTTCCAGCACTGTTCCAGGAGCCCCCCTCCCCCCCAGGGCGGGTTGACTTTTAGGGTTTCATTTGCCTCCTGCAATCCTCTGTAAGTACCTTTATAAATAACTGGCCTGGGGGGTTCCGCTTCTTCATCGTCATCCTTTCCATCTTTTCCTTCTTCTTTTCCTTCCTCAGACTTATCTATGCTCGCCAACTCTAGAAAATCTTCAATCAGGTCCAACGATATGAGAGACTGGCTGAAAACTAAACTACAGGAAGAAAGAAATGTTAGTACATGGCGGGTCTGAGCAGGACGTCGCTAGAGACACAGCGGTCTGATGCCAGGAGCCCTGCATCCACAGAGCCAAGCAACACGCATTTTGTAGAATGTGGAGGGCAAACACAGCCTAACAGAGGTCTCGTCCATAGACTACAAATACCGGACGGTACTATACCTCACCCCATATATACACAGGACGGTACTATACCTCACCCCATATATACACAGGACGGTACTATACCTCACCCTATATATATATATATATACACAGGACGGTACTATACCTCACCCCATATATATACACAAGGACGGTGCTATAGGTACTATACCTCACCCTATATATATACACACAGGACGGTACGGTACTATACCTCACCCTATATATACACAGGACGGTACTATACCTCACCCTATATATATATATATATATATATATATACAGGACGGTGCTATACCTTACCCCATATATACACAGGACGGTACTATACCTCACCCCATATATATACACACACTTACACCTCACCCCATATATACACAGACGGTACTACTATACCTCACCCTATATATTACACAGGATGGTACTATACTCACCCTATATATACACACACAGGACGGTACTATACCTCACCCCATATATACACACGACGGTACTATACCTCACCCTATATATACAACACAGGACGGTACTATACCTCACCCCATATATACACAGGACGGTACTATACCTCACCCTATATATACACAGGACGGTACTATACCTCACCCCATATATACACACACAGGACGGTACTATACCTCACCCCATATATATACACAGGGACGGTACTATACCTCACCCTATATATACACAGGACGGTACTATACCTCACCCTATATATACACAGGACGGTACTATACTATACCTCACCCTATATATACACAGGACGGTACTATACCTCACCCCATATATATACACACAGGACGGTACTATACCTCACCTATATATATATACACACACAGGACGGTACTATACCTCACCCTATATACACACAGGACGGTACTATACCTCACCCTATATATACACACAGGACAGGTACTATACCTCACCCTATATATATCACCCCATATATACACAGGACGGTACTATACAGGACGGTACTATACCTCACCCCTATATATACACACAGGACGGTACTATACCTCACCCTATATATATACACACAGGACGGTACTATACCTCACCCCTCATATATACACACACAGGGACGGTACTATACCTCACCCTATATATACACACACAGGACGGTACTATACCTCACCCTATATATACACACACAGGACGGTACTATACCTCACCCTATATATATACACACAGGACGGTACTATACCTCACCCCTATATATACACAGGGACGGTACTATACCTCACCCTATATATACACACACAGGACGGTACTATACCTCACCCTATATATACACAGGGGTAACTATACCTACTATACTCACCCTATATATATACACACAGGATGGTACTATACCTCACCCTATATATATACAAAGGATGGTACTATACCTCACCCCATATATACAAACACAGGACGGTACTATACCTCAACCTTTATATACAAACACAGGACGGTACTATACCTCACCCTTTATATACACAGGACGGTACTATACCTCACCCTATATATACAAACACAGGACGGTACTATACCTCAACCTTTATATATAAAACACAGGACGGTACTATACCTTCATCCTATATATACACAGGACGGTACTATACCTTCATCCTATATATGCACATATATGCAGGACGGTACCATACCTTCATCCTATATATGCACAGGACGGTACTATACCTCATCCTTTATATACACACACAGGACGGTACTATACCTCACCCTATATATACACAAACAGGACGGTACTATACCTTCACCCTATATACACAGGACGGTACTATACCTGACCCTATAAACACAGGACGGTACTATACCTGACCCTATATAACACAGGACGGTACTATACCTGACCCTATAAACACAGGACGGTACTATACCTGACCCTATAAAACACAGGACGGTACTATATCTTCATCCTATATATACACAGGACGGTACTATACCTCATCCTATATGGACGGTACTATACCTCATCATATATACACACCGGATAATACAGGACGGTACTATACCTCATCCTACATATACACCGGATAATACAGGACGGTACTATACCTCATCCTACATATACACACACCGGATAATACAGGACGGTACTATACCTCATCCTACATATACCTACACACACAGGACGGATAATACAGGACGGTACTATACCTCATCCTACATATACACACACCGGATAATACAGGACGGTACTATACCTCATCCTACATATACACACACCGGATAATATACAGGACGGTACTATATACCTCATCCTACATATACACACACCGGATAATACAGGACGGTACTATACCTCATCCTACATATACACACCGGATAATACAGGACGGTACTATACCTCATCCTACATATATACACCGGATAATATCCTACAGGACGGTACTATACCTCATATATATACACAGCAGATATATATACACATACACACACATACAGATAATACAGGACGGTACTATACCTCATATATACATATACACATACACACAGCAGATAATACAGGACGGTACTATACCTCATCCTACATATACACACCGGATAATACAGGACGGTACTAATACCTCATATATATATATATATAACACATACACACAGCAGATAATACAGGACGGTACTACACCTTATGTCTGGGTACGGATCGTTCAGTATCAGGTTACACAATTTTTCGGTCTCCGGTTGTGCACAATACACACACACAGGAACATGCAAGTCTGGACAGATTATAGGACAGGAGGAGAAAACTCACACTTTGTCGCCGAGCTCCTCTGCCATGCGAAGAATCTCAAACAGAAGGCTAATTTTTCCAGAATGTTCCAGCATACCAGCGTCTGCTTCTGTCACAAAATCCTTGTACCAGTCAGGAGCCGGGCTACCAGGGCTGGAGGACGATGTGGCTTTGCCAATAATGGGGAAAGAAAAGACAAGGAGGTAAAGTACCACGCTGCAAAGATTTCACAAAGTAACACTCTGTGTACCAAATCCAATCAGAGGGAAGACTTACAACAAAAAGGAGAAAGGTCATCTCCATGGTGACCAGTCACGTCAGGTGTGTGCTACCCTTGGGGAGGACAATGAATGGCCATGGTGACCAGTTAGGTATGTGTCACCCTTGGTGAGGACAATGAATGGCCATGGTGAGCAGTCAGGCCTGTGTCACCCTTGGGGAGGACATAATGAATTGCCATGGTGACCGGTCAGGTCTGTGCCACCCTTTGGGAGGACAATGAATGGCCATGGTGACCGGTAAGGTCTGTGCCACCCTTTGGGAGGACAATGAATGGCCATGGTGAGCATCAGGCCTGTGTCACCCTTGGGGGAGGACATAATGAATGTGGTGAGCAGTCAGGTCTGTGCCACCCTTTGGGAGGACAATGAATGGCCATGGTGACCGGTCAGGTCTGTGCCACCCTTTGGGAGGACAATGAATGGCCATGGTGACCGGTCAGGTCTGTGCCACCCTTGGTGAGGACAATGAATGGCCATGAACCGGTCAGGTCTGTGCCACCCTTGGTGAGGACAATGAATGGCCATGGTGACCGGTCAGGTCTGTGCCACCCTTGGTGAGGACAATGAATGGCCATGGTGACCGGTCAGGTCTGTGCCACCCTTTGGGAGGACAATGAATGGCCATGGTGACTGGTCAGGTCTGTCCCACCCTTGGTGAAGACAATGAATGGCCATGGTGACCGGTCAGGTCTGTCCCACCCTTGGTGAAGACAATGAATGGCCATGGTGACCGGTCAGGTCTGTCCCACCCTTGGTGAAGACAATGAATGGCCATGGTGACCGGTCAGGTCTGTCCCACCCTTGGTGAGGACAATGAATGGCCATGGTGACCGGTCAGGTCTGTGCCACCCTTTGGGAGGACAATGAATGGCCATGGTGACCGGTCAGGTCTGTGCCACCCTTTGGGAGGACAATGAATGGCCATGGCGACCGGTCAAGTCTGTGCCACCCTTGGGGAGGACATAACAAACAGATAAACACATGCTACCACCACAACCCCTGGATGGAGAGAAATACGACTGACAGGTAAAACATCTCCGATATTTGTAGGTTATCTTTGTATTTAGCGGCTCGCCTGGATTTCGGATTCATGTAAACAAAGCAATATATCGCATAATCCGATGAAATATCAGAGTGCTCAATCATTAGAGCTGCAGAAGTTTCATGTAAAATACAGACAGTGACAGTACTATGGTCTGTATTCTTCACACACTTCTACATCCTACATCCTATGTCTCAGCGAGCCAGCAGGTGGAGCAATTGTAGGTCAACTCACTTTCCTCCACCTTGGGCGCGGGCGCTTTAGATGCCACCTCCTCCTTGGGATCCTTTGGATTGCCGCCCCGGGACCGAGAATTCCACACCTTAATGACTTCCACCTCTCGGTCACTCTCGTCATCGCTGGAGCTGCTCGAGTTCTTGCCTTTCCTCTTGGATTTCTTCACCCTGTAAACAGAATTACAGGCTGAGCTGATTTCCTTCTAATGACTTCGAAAACTCCATAAAATCCATCTCATTCCTCCAGGCTGGAGGACTGTGCAGCACCTGGATGGCCACAGGCTGTACAACGAGGTTTACTATGAGCGTCCCACACACTGGGAACCGGAGTCAACGCTTTCCATTTAATAAAAGTTCTGACGGCCTGGACACAAATACATGGTCTAGATAATGTGTTCGGGGTCAGTATTACCCTGGAGGCCCCCTAATTCACCCTCCGCTGCCCTGGAGACCCCCTACTCCGCCCTCCGCCGCCCTGGAGATCCCTCTATTCCGCCCTCCGCCGCCCTGGAGTTCCCTCTACTCCACCCTCCGCCGCCCTGGAGAGCCCCTACTATGCTGCCCTGGAGGCCCCCCTACTCTGCTCTCTGCCACCCTGGAGAGCCCTCTACTCCACCCTCCGCCGCCCTGGAGAGCCCCTACTATGCCGCCCTGGAAATCCCTCTACTCCGCCCTCTGCCACCCCCATACTCCTCCTTCTGCCGCCCTGGAGACCCTCCACTCCGCCGCCACCCTGGAGATATCCTCCGCCTCCCTGGAGACCCTCTACTCCGCCCTCCTCCACCCTGGAGACCCTCTACTTTGCCCTCCGCCTCCCCGGAGACCCTCTACTTTGCCCTCCGCCACCCTGAAGGCATCCTCCTCTGCCCTCCCCTGAATTGAAGATATTCTACTCCGCCCTCCCCTGAACTGAAGGCATCCTCCTCCGCCCTCCCCTGAATTGAAGGCATTCTACTCCCCTCCCCTGAATTGAAGGCATCCCCCTCGCCCTCCCCTGAATTGAAGGCATCCCCCTCGCCCTCCCCTGAATTGAAGGCATCCCCTCGCCCTCCCCTGAATTGAAGGCATCCCCCTCGCCCTCCCCTGAATTGAAGGCATTCTACTCCCCCTCGCCCTCCCCTGAATTGAAGGCATCCCCCTCGCCCTCCCCTGAATTGAAGGCATCCTACTCGCCCCTCCCCTGAATTGAAGGCATCCTCCTCGCCCTCCCCCGAATTGAAGGCATCCTCCTCGCCCTCCCCCGAATTGAAGATATTCCTACTCGCCCTCCCCCGAATTGAAGATATTCTACTCCGCCCTCCCCCGAATTGAAGATATTCTACTCCGCCCTCCCCCGAATTGAAGATATTCTACTCCGCCCTCCCCCGAATTGAAGATATTCTACTCCGCCCTCCCCCGAATTGAAGATATTCTACTCCGCCCTCCCCCGAATTGAAGATATTCTACTCCGCCCTCCCCCGAATTGAAGATATTCTACTCCGCCCTCCCCCGAATTGAAGATATTCTACTCCGCCCTCCCCTGAATTGAAGATATTCTACTCCGCCCTCCCCCGAATTGAAGATATTCTACTCCGCCCTCCCCCGAATTGAAGATATTCTACTCCGCCCTCCCCCGAATTGAAGATATTCTACTCCGCCCTCCCCTGAATTGAAGATATTCTACTCCGCCCTCCCCTGAATTGAAGATATTCTACTCCGCCCTCCCCCCTGAATTGAAGATATTCTACTCCGCCCTCCCCCGAATTGAAGATATTCTACTCCGCCCTCCCCTGAATTGAAGATATTCTACTCCGCCCTCCCCTGAATTGAAGATATTCTACTCCGCCCTCCCCTGAATTGAAGATATTCTACTCCGCCCTCCCCTGAATTGAAGATATTCTACTCCGCCCTCCCCCACCCTGGAGACCCTCTATAATGGGTTCACGTATGTGAGATGGACATGTATCCTTCCTATTCATCTCTCTGATCCATTGGGACAGTTCGGGGGCGATTTCCATGGAATGTGTACTATATATTTGGATGAATTGTTCCTATTGGATTCTCTGAACCTTGGGCCACACCCATGCGGTACTGACCTCTGTGGTAACGCCCACCATGGTCTTTTTACCACGCTTTGTACAAATCATCTTTATGGGAACAAGGCTTGGTATGAATCTGGTGTTCCATACATTCAGAGATTTGTATACATGGGTTACGGTCTCTAGCCGTCTATGGACTGGCACATTGTTTAGGTAATGGAAGAAAAATGCGTAGAGACGGGCCGAAGTCGTCATTTAATTCACATTCTGGCACGTCGGGCAAAGCAACAAGAAAAATCAGTTGGCATTTATCTTTGATTGTTTGACTAATTCCTGACCATCGCTCACATGACGTGACTGCTAAGTGAGTTTCTGGCAGAAGTCGATAAACAGAAAAGAATCGGTCTTGTAGGTAGAGCCCATTCACACCGCGTGCCGAATATCGACACCCCGAATGGTGGAGACAGGAACCCTTTGTGTGCCGAATATCGACACCCCCCGAATGGTGGAGACACGAACCCTTTGTGTGCCGAATATCGACACCCCGAATGGTGGAGACACGAACCCTTTGTGTGCCGAATATCGACACCCCGAATGGTGGAGACAGGAACCCTTTGTGTGCCGAATATCGACACCCCGAATGGTGGAGACACGAACCCTTTGTGTGCCGAATATCGACACCCCGAATGGTGGAGACACGAACCCTTTGTGTGCCGAATATCGACACCCCGAATGGTGGAGACACGAACCCTTTGTGTGCAGAATATCGACACCCCGAATGGTGGAGACACGAACCCTTTGTGTGCCGAATATCGACACCCCGAATGGTGGAGACACGAACCCTTTGTGTGCCCAATATCGACACCCCGAAACGGTGGAGACACGAACCCTTTGTGTGTGCCGAATATCGACACCCCGAATGGTGGAGACACGAACCCTTTGTGTGCCCAAATATCGACACAACCCCGAATGGTGGAGACACCAACCCTTTGTGTGCCGAATATCGACACCCCGAATGGTGGAGACACCAACCCTTTGTGTGCCGAATATCGACACCCCGAATGGTGGAGACACCAACCCTTTGTGTGCCGAATATCGACACCCCGAATGGTGGAGACACCAACCCTTTGTGTGCCGAATATCGACACCCCGAATGGTGGAGACACCAACCCTTTGTGTGCCGAATATCGACACCCCGAATGGTGGAGACACCAACCCTTTGTGTGCTGTATATGGTGGAGGGGACCAGGTAACCCTTTGTATGCTGTATATGGTGGAGGGGACCAGGTAACCCTTTGTATGCTGTATATGGTGGAGGGGACCAGGTAACCCTTTGTATGCTGTATATGGTGGAGGGGACCAGGTAACCCTTTGTATGCTGTATATGGTGGAGGGGACCAGGTAACCCTTTGTATGCTGTATATGGTGGAGGGGACCAGGTAACCCTTTGTATGCTGTATATGGTGGAAGGGACCAGGTAACCCTTTGTATGCTGTATATGGTGGAGGGGACCAGGTAACCCTTTGTATGCTGTATATGGTGGAGGGGACCAGGTAACCCTTTGTATGCTGTATTTGGTGGAGGGGACCAGGTAACCCTTTGTATGCTGTATATGGTGGATGGGACCAGGTAACCCTTTGTATGCTGTATATGGTGGAGGGGACCAGGTAACCCTTTGTATGCTGTATATGGTGGAGGGGACCAGGTAACCCTTTGTATGCTGTATATGGTGGAGGGGACCAGGTAACCCTTTGTATGCTGTATATGGTGGAGGGGACCAGGTAACCCTTTGTATGCTGTATTGGTGGAGGGGACCAGGTAACCCTTTGTATGCTGTATTTGGTGGAGGGGACCAGGTAACCCTTTGTATGCTGTATATGGTGGAGGGGACCAGGTAACCCTTTGTATGCTGTATATGGTGGAGGGGACCAGGTCCCCCTTTTCATGCTGTATATGGTGGTGTCTATTGGTGGAGGGGACCAGGTAACCCTTTGTGTGCTGTATATGGTGGAGGGGACCAGGTAACCCTTTGTATGCTGTATATGGTGGAGGGGACCAGGTCCCCCTTTTCATGCTGTATTTGGTGGAGGGGACCAGGTAACCCTTTGTATGCTGTATATGGTGGAGGGGGGACCAGGTAACCCTTTGTATGCTGTATATGGTGGAGGGGACCAGGTAACCCTTTGTATGCTGTATATGGTGGAGGGGACCAGATAACCTTTTGTATGCTGTATATGGTGGTGTCTATTGGTGGAGGGGACCAGGTAACCCTTTGTGTGCTGTATATGGTGGAAGGGACCAGGTAACCCTTTGTATGCTGTATATGGTGGAGGGGACCAGGTAACCCTTTGTATGCTGTATATGGTGGAGGGGACCAGGTAACCCTTTGTATGCTGTATATGGTGGAGGGGACCAGGTAACCCTTTGTATGCTGTATATGGTGGAGGGGACCAGGTAACCCTTTGTATGCTGTATTTGGTGGAGGGGACCAGGTAACCCTTTGTAATGCTGTATTTGGTGGAGGGGACCAGGTAACCCTTTGTATGCTGTATATGGTGGAGGGGACCAGGTAACCCTTTGTATGCTGTATATGGTGGAGGGGACCAGGTCCCCCTTTTCATGCTGTATATGGTGGTGTCTATTGGTGGAGGGGACCAGGTAACCCTTTGTGTGCTGTATATGGTGGAGGGGACCAGGTAACCCTTTGTATGCTGTATATGGTGGAGGGGACCAGGTCCCCCTTTTCATGCTGTATTTGGTGGAGGGGACCAGGTAACCCTTTGTATGCTGTATATGGTGGAGGGGACCAGGTAACCCTTTGTATGCTGTATATGGTGGAGGGGACCAGGTCCCCCTTTTCATGCTGTATTTGGTGGAGGGGACCAGGTAACCCTTTGTATGCTGTATATGGTGGAGGGGACCAGGTAACCCTTTGTGTGCTGTATATGGTGGAGGGGACCAGGTAACCCTTTGTATGCTGTATATGGTGGAGGGGACCAGGTCCCCCTTTTCATGCTGTATATGGTGGAGGGGACCAGGTCCCCCTTTTCATGCTGTATTTGGTGGAGGGGACCAGGTAACCCTTTGTATGCTGTATATGGTGGAGGGGACCAGGTAACCCTTTGTATGCTGTATATGGTGGAGGGGACCAGATAACCCTTTGTATGCTGTATATGGTGGTGTCTATTGGTGGAGGGGACCAGGTAACCCTTTGTGTGCTGTATATGGTGGAGGGGACCAGGTAACCCTTTGTGTGCTGTATATGGTGGAGGGGACCAGGTAACCCTTTGTATGCTGTATATGGTGGAAGGGACCAGGTAACCCTTTGTATGCTGTATATGGTGGAGGGACCAGGTAACCCTTTGTATGCTGTATATGGTGGAGGGGACCAGGTAACCCTTTGTATGCTGTATTTGGTGGAGGGGACCAGGTAACCCTTTGTATGCTGTATATGGTGGAAGGGACCAGGTAACCCTTTGTATGCTGTATATGGTGGAGGGGACCAGGTAACCCTTTGTATGCTGTATATGGTGGAGGGGACCAGGTAACCCTTTGTATGCTGTATATGGTGGAGGGGACCAGGTAACCCTTTGTATGCTGTATATGGTGGAGGGGACCAGGTAACCCTTTGTATGCTGTATTTGGTGGAGGGGACCAGGTAACCCCTTTGTATGCTGTATTTGGTGGAGGGGACCAGGTAACCCTTTGTATGCTGTATATGGTGGAGGGGACCAGGTAACCCTTTGTATGCTGTATATGGTGGAGGGGACCAGGTCCCCCTTTTCATGCTGTATATGGTGGAGGGGACCAGGTCCCCCTTTCATGCTGTATTTGGTGGAGGGGACCAGGTAACCCTTTGTATGCTGTATATGGTGGAGGGGACCAGGTCCCCCTTTTCATGCTGTATATGGTGGTGTCTATTGGTGGAGGGGACCAGGTAACCCTTTGTGTGCTGTATATGGTGGAGGGGACCAGGTAACCCTTTGTATGCTGTATATGGTGGAGGGGACCAGGTCCCCCTTTTCATGCTGTATATGGTGGAGGGGACCAGGTCCCCCTTTCATGCTGTATTTGGTGGAGGGGACCAGGTAACCCTTTGTATGCTGTATATGGTGGAGGGGACCAGGTAACCCTTTGTATGCTGTATATGGTGGAGGGGACCAGGTAACCCTTTGTATGCTGTATATGGTGGTGTCTATTGGTGGAGGGGACCAGGTAACCCTTTGTGTGCTGTATATGGTGGAGGGGACCAGGTAACCCTTTGTATGCTGTATATGGTGGAGGGGACCAGGTCCCCCTTTTCATGCTGTATATGGTGGAGGGGACCAGGTCCCCCTTTGTCATGCTGTATATGGTGGAGGGGACCAGGTCCCCCTTTTCATGCTGTATATGGTGGAGGGGACCAGGTCCCCCTTTTCATGCTGTATATGGTGGAGGGGACCAGGTCCCCCTTTTCATGCTGTATATGGTGGAGGGGACCAGGTCCCCCCCTTTTCATGCTGTATATGGTGGAGGGGACCAGGTCCCCCTTTTCATGCTGTATTTGGTGGAGGGGACCAGGTAACCCTTTGTATGCTGTATATGGTGGAGGGGACCAGGTCCCCCTTTGTATGCTGTATATGGTGGAGGGGACCAGGTCCCCCTTTGTATGCTGTATATGGTGGAGGGGACCAGGTCCCCCTTTTCATGCTGTATATGGTGGAGGGGACCAGGTCCCCCTTTTCATGCTGTATATGGTGGAGGGGACCAGGTCCCCCTTTTCATGCTGTATATGGTGGAGGGGACCAGGTCCCCCTTTTCGATGCTTACGGTGTAGCTTCTTCCTCCGAGCTCGGCGTGGAAGTGGTCTCTTCGGAGTCGGACACCACGAACTCCTCATTGCTGTCTTCATCGAAGTATCCCTACAAACACACAGGGATGACGTCACTGCCGCGCATTTCTCCGTGGCGGGCACACACATCTGTTTAGTCACTTGGAAAATGTCTGGCTTACATCATTTCAAACAAAGCTTTAATAATGGGCATATATCTTGAAATATAAAGGAACATAATCATAGATGAAAGAGCAGCAGGCAAATCTATAGCGCTGCACATTCGAAGAAAAAACACAAATTTCCATTATTTCACCGAAATTCTACCCACTATTTGGCATGGTTTATTGGGGAAACATTTCACAGAGACAGAAATATGTAGTATGATATCTGCCGTACCTTATTTTCCTTACTAATATAGTCCAGCTGTAGGCACCAGGGGTGAGTCCAGATCCTACTTAAAATCTGAAAGTCCTGGAAAAGCTTGGTTCCAGATTTACCTCGGCCGCCACCGCCTCCTTCGCCCAGAGTAACACCTGTCAAGGTAAAAGGATTAGAGGACGGGCCGCGGACGGCTTTTACAAGATCGCAGCAGATGTTTCCATTTCACACTTAAATGCTCAGTACAGAAATCTGGCTTAAAGCTGAGAAGCAAATGCTTTATATCTGAAACCACAAGAAAAGAGCCGCATGCTTTGTGCTCCCAGGGATATACAATACCCCCCCACCCCCAACATCGGGGATCGCTGACAGTCCGTGTGCAACTAGAGTACAGATGAGGAGCACAGAGACTGCACCATTCATGGGCGGAACAAACTGTGGGGCCCCAGAGATAAATTCTGTCGGGGCCCGCAGGATAACACACTCTGTAGCAGCTGGCAGTGTCAACTGTGACAATACGTGTCCCTGATCCTAAGCAACCGGCAGCGGGAGGTGTCAGCACAGCCGGGGTACAGAGCCGTCCACACAGGCGGGGTACAGAGCCGGGGTACAGAGCCGTGAGCACAGGCGGGTACAGAGCCGTCCACACAGGCGGGGTACAGAGCCGGGGTACAGAGCAGGTTGCAGAGCCGTAAGCACAGGCGGGGGTGCAGAGCCGTCAGCCCACAGGCGGGGTGCAGAGCCGGGGTACAGCAGGGGTGCAGAGCCGTAGCACAGGCGGGGTGCAGAGCCGGGGTGCAGCCGTTCAGGCGCAGGGTACAGAGCCGGGGTACAGAGCAGGTGTGCAGAGCCGTAAGCACAGGCGGGGAGCAGAGCCGGAGTGCAGAGCCGTCATGCACAGGCGGGGAGCAGAGACCAGGAAGCCGTCAGCACAGGCGGGGTGCAGAGCCGTCAGCACAGGCGGGTACAGAGCCGGGGTACCAGAGCAATTGCTGTACAGAGCCGTAAGCACAGGCGGGGAGTCAGAGCCGCGAGTGCAGCCGTCAGCACAGGCGGGAGCAGAGCCATCATCAGCAAAGGCGGGTGCAGAGCCGGTGTGCAGAGCCGTCAGCACAGGCGGGGTGCAGAGCAGAGCCGGGTGCAGAGCCGTTCTACAGGCATGGTTGCAGGCCGTAAGCACAGGAGACAGGCAATAATGTAGTGCAGAGCCGTACCTTATTTCCTTACAAGCGGGTACAGTCACAGCGTAGCACAGGCGGGGTGCAGAGCCGTCAGCACAGTCAGGGTGGTGCAGAGCCTCAGGGGGAGCAGAGCCGTCAAGGCAGAGCCGTCAGCACAGGCGGGGCAGAGCCGTCAGCAAGAGGCAGGGTTTCCATTTCACAGCCGGTGTGCAGAGCCGTCAGCACAGGCGGGGTGCAGAGCTCCAGGCAATACCCCCCCACCCCACAAGCCGGGGTGCAGAGCCGTCAACAGGCAGGAGGAGCAGCAGAGACTGCAGAGCCGTTCATGGCAGAGCCGTCAGCACAGGCGGGGCCCGCAGGAGCAACACTCAGTAGCAGCTGGCGTGTCAACTGTGACAATACGTGTCCCTGATCCTAAGCACAGGCAGCGGGAGGTGTCAGCACAGCCGGGGTGCAGAGCCGTCAGCACAGGCGGGGTAGCAGAGCCGGGGTGCAGAGCCGTCAGCACAGGCAGGGAGCAGAGCCGGGTGCAGAGCCGTCAGCACAGGCGGGGTGCAGAGCCGGGGGTGCAGAGCCGTCAGCACAGGCGGGGTGCAGAGCCGTCAGCACAGGCGGGGTGCAGAGCCGTCAGCACAGGCGGGGGGTGCAGAGCCGTCAGCACAGGCGGGGTGCAGAGCCGGGGTGCAGAGCAGTCAGCACAGGCGGGGTGCAGAGCCGTCAGCACAGGCGGGGTGCAGAGCCGTCAGCACAGGCGGGGTGCAGAGCCGGTGTACAGAGCCAGTGCAGAGCCGTAAGCACAGGCAGGGAGCAGAGCCGGGGTGCAGAGCCGTCAGCACAGGCGGGGTGCAGAGCCGGGTGCAGAGCCGTCAGCACAGGCGGGAGCAGAGCCGGGGTGCAGAGCCGTCAGCACAGGCGGGGTGCAGAGCCGTCAGCACAGGCGGGGTGCAGAGCCGTCAGCACAGGCGGGGTGCAGAGCCGTCAGCACAGGCGGGGTGCAGAGCCGGGGTGCAGAGCCGTCAGCACAGGTGGGGGTGCAGACCGTCAGCACAGGCGGGGAGCAGAGCCGGGGTGCAGTTAGGTCTAACAAGAACCAGGCCTTGGAGTTATGAGTTCGGGGACCGCAGAGCAATCTAGAACCAATCCGCAGGGGTGCAGAGCCGTCAGCACAGGCGGGGTGCAGGGACCGTCAGCACAGGGGGGATTCACTGTGATAGACATAGGGGACGGGGGCAGAGCCGTCAGCACAGGGGACGGGGTGCAGGGCTGTGATAGCATAGGGGACCCCCCGGATTCGGGCGCCGTCAGACATAGGGGGGATTCGGGACTGTGATCAGACAGGCGGGGTGCAGAGCCGTCAGACAGGCGGGGTGCAGAGATCAGACACAGGGGGTGATTTTGCAGAGCCGTGATAGCACAGGCGGGGAGAGCCCGGGATTGCGGGACCGTAAGACATAGGGGACCCCCTGATTCGGGCAGAGCCAGTGATAGCATAGGGGAGCCCCTGATTCGGGGTGCAGAGCCGGGGAACCCTGTTAGGGAGTCTAACATAGGGGAACCAGATCTTAGCTGTCCTAGGAGATACATAGGACGACCGCCAGGATTTGGACCGTGATAGACATAGGGGACCCCGGGATTCGGGACCGTGATAGACATAGGGGACCCCGGGATTTGGGACCGTGATAGACATAGGGGACCCTGTGATTTTGGACCATGACAGACATAGGGGACCCCGTGATTCGGGGACCATGACAGACATAGGGGACCCCAGGATTCGTTCGGTTTCCTCCCACACTCCAAAGACATGCTGGGAGGTTAACTGGATCAGTTTTAAAATTTGCTCTGGTAGTATGAATGTGAGTTAGGGACCTTAGATTGTACGCTCCTCGGGGGCGGGGACTGTTGTGAATATATATCTCTTTCTCTCGATCTGCGTAAATTGAGGGCGCTATACAAGTACCTGACACACACAGCTACTGTAAAGGAGGAGTTCTTAAGCTGCTATGTAAGGACTGAGGATCCAATGAGGGTGTGCCGCCCGGACATGTAACATCCACAATTATTCGATGAGTCGCTCGGCTCCCTCCGGGTGAAGCCAATGCACATCATTTATTAATATTTGGGAATCCGTATCTTATTACCATCAATCCCGGCCTAATGATAATAGTCTGTCCAAAGACTGAAGACTACAAATCCTTCTGGCAGCCTGAGGACAATGAGGACAATGGCAGACGTCTGTCCCCCGAACATCTGCTGCCCATCAGGAGCGGGTGGGTACGGCCTGCAATTACACTTCTGATATTCTAGTTTTACATTAAAGTTCTTAAAAATCTTCAGAGGATGAAAAGACGCAGGAAGATCCAGCGGCGGTACAGAGGACGATGATGGTACCGGGTCCTGCTCCATCATCACGGGGCCCTGTACCAGGTCCTGCTCCATCATCACGGGGCCCTGTACCAGGTCCTGCTCCATCATCACGGGGCCCTGTACCGGGCCCTGCACCATCACCACGGGCCCTGCACCATCACCACCGGGCCCTGCACCATCACCACCGGGCCCTGCACCATCACCACCGGTCCCTGCACCATCACCACCGGGCCCTGCACCATCACCACCGGGCCCTGCACCGGGTCCTGCTCCATCACCACCAGGGCCCTGCACCGGGTCCTGCTCCATCACCCCCGGGCCCCTGCACCGGGTCCTGCTCCATCACCCCCGGGGGCCCTGCTCCATCACCCCCGGGGGCCCTGCACCGGGTCCTGCTCCATCACCCCCGGGGCCCCTGCTCCATCCCCCCGGGGCCCTGCACCGGGTCCTGCTCTATCCCCAGGCCCTGCACCGGGTCCTGCTCTATCCCCAGGCCCTGCACCGGGTCCCTGCTCTATCCCCAGGCCCTGCACCGGGTCCTGCTCCATCACCCCCGGGGCCCTGCACCGGGTCCTGCTCTATCCCCAGGGCCTGCACCGGGTCCTGCTCTATCCCCAGGCCCTGCACCGGGTCCTGCTCCCATCCCCAGGCCCTGCACCGGGTCCTGCTCCATCCCCAGGCCTGCACCGGTCCTGCTCCATCCCAGGCCCTGCACCGGGTCCTGTTCCATCCCCAGGCCCTGCACCGGGTCCTGCTCCATCCCCAGGCCCTGCACCGGGTCCTGCTCCATCCCCAGGCCCTGCACCGGGTCCTGCTCCATCCCCAGGCCCTGCACCGGGTCCTGTTCCATCCCCAGGCCCCTGCACCGGGTCCTGTTCCATCCCCAGGCCCTGCACCGGGTCCTGTTCCATCCCCAGGCCCTGCACCGGGTCCTGCTCCATCCCCAGGCCCTGCACCGGGTCCTGTTCCATCCCCAGGCCCTGCACCGGGTCCTGTTCCATCCCCAGGCCCTGCACCGGGTCCTGTTCCATCCCCAGGCCCTGCACCGGGTCCTGTTCCATCCCCAGGCCCTGCACCGGGTCCTGTTCCATCCCCAGGCCCTGCACCGGGTCCTGTTCCATCCCCAGGCCCTGCACCGGGTCCTGTTCCATCCCCAGGCCCTGCACCGGGTCCTGTTCCATCCCCAGGCCCTGCACCGGGTCCTGTTCCATCCCCAGGCCCTGCACCGGGTCCTGTTCCATCCCCAGGCCCTGCACCGGGTCCTGTTCCATCCCCAGGCCCTGCACCGGGTCCTGTTCCATCCCCAGGCCCTGCACCGGGTCCTGTTCCATCCCCAGGCCCTGCACCGGGTCCTGTTCCATCCCCAGGCCCTGCACCGGGTCCTGTTCCATCCCCAGGCCCTGCACCGGGTCCTGTTCCATCCCCAGGCCCTGCACCGGGTCCTGTTCCATCCCCAGGCCCTGCACCGGGTCCTGTTCCATCCCCAGGCCCTGCACCGGGTCCTGTTCCATCCCCAGGCCCTGCACCGGGTCCTGTTCCATCCCCAGGCCCTGCACCGGGTCCTGTTCCATCCCCAGGCCCTGCACCGGGTCCTGTTCCATCCCCAGGCCCTGCACCGGGTCCTGTTCCATCCCCAGGCCCTGCACCGGGTCCTGTTCCATCCCCAGGCCCTGCACCGGGTCCTGTTCCATCCCCAGGCCCTGCACCGGGTCCTGTTCCATCCCCAGGCCCTGCACCGGGTCCTGTTCCATCCCCAGGCCCTGCACCGGGTCCTGTTCCATCCCCAGGCCCTGCACCGGGTCCTGTTCCATCCCCAGGCCCTGCACCGGGTCCTGTTCCATCCCCAGGCCCTGCACCGGGTCCTGTCATATTTGGTCTTTAAGTGACAGAACTTGGGATAGATGGATCTCTATGCAGGTAAAAAGGTTTTCACGTTTTCTGGTGTCACGTCTACAATGAATATGACCTCCATACACACTTCCTCTGGACACAAACCTGTGATATTATCCAGATAGTACTGATAGAGCTTGCACTGTATGGGGGACATCCGCACCGACAGGACATACTCGTACTTGGGGGGTAAAAACTTTGTCAGAGCCGTGTAATCTCTTCTCTGAAACAGAAGAAAAACAAACAATTACACCGCTGGACCCCGAATACAGAGGGGGTGAGGGCAGCACTATCACTGTTCCCTGATTGGGGGGGCAGAATCTGACCCCCCCGGAAGCCCCGCCCATTCTTATGCCTTCCATACAACAGGTGTGTCTGCTCACCTGCACACATCCAGCTAACATCTCATAGAGAATGTGGGCGCGTTTCTTCATCACCCGCACGTCCACCATGGTGGAGTCAGCGCACTGCCCGTTCTGGATGGGGTTTATAAAGCGATTGCGGAACTCCTTAATGGAACCCAGCAAGTTTTCCTTGATGAAGTTCACCATGCAGTGATCTGAAAAGGAAAAGCGTGAGAATTCTTAGTCACTCTTCTGCAACACACTCCTATCGCTTTGTATTAGGCCTCATTCACAGGGCATACTACAGTGTAGGCAATGCTTCCCCGCACGGGGGGGGCACAGGTGTGCCATGGGTCCTCATTCATGTCAGAGGGGACACAGCAGCCGCACCCAATCCGACGTGTGTGTGTGTGAGCGTGTGCTCAGTGTCCGAGTGTGGGGACCCGCACCTACACAGAGGCCAGGGAGCAGGGTCAGTGCAGCTGCCGTATCCTCAATATTCCCATCAGTGGCGGGTGCTGCAGCAACTACCAGCTGGGATCTGGACTCCCCATGGAAGTACATAATGGCCAGCACACCATGGACGTCACGTCGCAGAAAGATCACATGCCTGACGGGGTCCTGCGTGGCTCCAAAACGCTGCACTCAGTCCTCTGTGATGTGATCTTCTGGAATAAAAGCTTTGAATGACATGTGACACCCACAGTGTGCTGACATGTGACACCCACAGTGTGCTGACGACCTGTGACACCCACAGTGTGCTGACGACCTGTGACACCCACAGTGTGCTGACGACCTGTGACACCCACAGTGTGCTGACGACCTGTGACACCCACAATGTGCTGATGACATGTGACACCCACAATGTGCTGATGACCTGTGACACCCACAGTGTACTGATGACATGTGACACCCACAGTGTGCTGATGACATGTGACACCCACAGTGTGCTGATGACCTGTGACACCCACAGTGTGCTGATGACCTGTGACACCCACAGTGTGCTGATGACCTGTGACACCCACAGTGTGCTGATGACCTGTGACACCCACAGTGTGCTGACGACCTGTGACACCCACAGTGTGCTGACGACATGTGTGACACCCACAGTGTGCTGACGACCTGTGACACCCACAGTGTGCTGACGACCTGTGACACCCACAGTGTGCTGACGACCTGTGACACCCACAGTGTGCTGACGACCTGTGACACCCACAGTGTGCTGACGACCTGTGACACCCACAGTGTGCTGACGACCTGTGACACCCACAGTGTGCTGACGACCTGTGACACCCACAGTGTGCTGACGACCTGTGACACCCACAGTGTGCTGACGACATGTGACACCCACAGTGTGCTGACGACATGTGACACCCACAGTGTGCTGACGACATGTGACACCCACAGTGTGCTGACGACCTGTGACACCCACAGTTGCTGACGACCTGTGACACCCACAGTGTGCTGACGACCTGTGACACCCACAGTGTGCTGACGACCTGTGACACCCACAGTGTGCTGACGACCTGTGACACCCACAGTGTGCTGACGACCTGTGACACCCACAGTGTGCTGACGACCTGTGACACCCACAGTGTGCTGACGACCTGTGACACCCACAGTGTGCTGACGACCTGTGACACCCACAGTGTGCTGACGACATGTGACACCCACAGTGTGCTGACGACATGTGACACCCACAGTGTGCTGACGACCTGTGACACCCACAATGTGCTGACGACATGTGACACCCACAGTGTGCTGACGACATGTGACACCCACAATGTGCTGACGACATGTGACACCCACAGTGTGCTGACGACATGTGACACCCACAGTGTGCTGACGACATGTGACACCCACAGTGTGCTGATGACATGTGACACCCACAGTGTGCTGATGACATGTGACACCCACAGTGTGCTGATGACATGTGACACCCACAGTGTGCTGATGACATGTGACACCCACAGTGTGCTGATGACATGTGACACCCACAGTGTGCTGATGACATGTGACACCCACAGTGTGCTGATGACATGTGACACCCACAGTGTGCTGATGACATGTGACACCCACAGTGTGCTGATGACATGTGACACCCACAGTGTGCTGATGACATGTGACACCCACAGTGTGCTGATGACATGTGACACCCACAGTGTGCTGATGACATGTGACACCCACAGTGTGCTGATGACATGTGACACCCACAGTGTACTGATGACATGTGACACCCACAGTGTGCTGATGACATTGACACCCACAGTGTGCTGATGACATTGACACCCACAGTGTGCTGATGACATGTGACACCCACAGTGTACTGATGACATGTGACACCCACAGTGTACTGACGACATGTGACACCCACAGTGTACTGACGACATGTGACACCCACAGTGTACTGATGACATGTGACACCCACAGTGTGCTGATGACATGTGACACCCACAGTGTGCTGGAGATTCTGTACATGGACCTGTGCAGCCGCTGTGTCACCACTGACATGAATAGGACGGCCTGTGTGGGGACGCACACAGCACCTGCATACCCAACCATGAAGACTGGATGAAACAAACCGAATGCATGAATCCCCTCAGAGCGGAGGTGGTGAACAGGGGGGTAAAGGAAAACACAACTAGACCGGAGTGGAAGGAGGTGTGTACACATGCGTGTGTCTGCGTGTGCGCATGCGTGCACCTGTCTCTGTGAACACCTCCAGTTTCGGATTCACCTACACAAGGCGTGTACCGGAGGAGGGGAGTATGGCTACTTACATTCCACCAGGTTGTTCTGCAGAGGGGTCCCGGTCAGGATGATCCTTCTCTTGGTCCGGATAGAATTCATGGCCTTAGAGATGGCTGAGGCTTCATTCTTCAGCACATGGCCCTCATCACACACCACAAAGTCCGGACCTGAGCGACACAAAACTTTCGGTTGGACATTTCAACATCACCGTATGAATTACTGGGGGGGGGGGGGGGGCTTGCATGAATTACTGTTTGGGGGGGGGGGGGGGGGGCTTGTAATACATGAAAACAATCCGTTTGTGGTCGAGGAGGCGTGTCCTCGTAGGAGGCGTGTCCTCGTAGGAGGCGTGTCCTCGTAGGAGGCGTGTCCTCGTAGGATCGCAGGCCGGATGGGAGCGCAGAGACCGTTCATAACATAACCCAGGAAGGGAATCCTGCCACCTGCAGGCCGTACACTGACATTACACAGCTGAGGACATGAAGTTATGGAGGCACTCCGTCCTACAATGAATAGTTTTACATAACGCAGCTCCATCCGCACACATAGGAGACCCATCACTGGAGGGATTCATTCTCACAACGTACACCGGCCATGGCTACTATCCCAGCATTCCTCTACCTCACACAGCTAATGTCACCCCAGTGCTGAGACAGATGGGGGAGGGGCAAACAAGGACACAATGCAGGTAATAGCTGACATCATTGGTAGCTGGGATGTCAGTGGCTGGACTGCACGGTGCCCGAGGGCGTAAATCGGCACAATACAAATCTGCGACTCGGTGTAACAGAAAACATATTATAGGGATTAGTGTTCAATGCCTGAGCAGCACCTCGAACATGTTACCCTCTGTCTTCAATTACTCCTGAAAACTAGCTGTGTCCCTTCTGTGCCCGGGGCCCTCATGAAATCAGTGCCCCTCCGGTGCCCGGGGCCCTCCTGAAATCAGTGCCCCTCCTGTGCACTGGCACTCCTGATATCAGTGCCTTTCCTGTGCCTAGGCCCTCCAGACATCAGTGCCCCTCCTGTGCCCAGGCACCTGATATCAGTGCCCCTCCTGACATCAGTGCCCCTCTTGTACCCAGGCACCCGTTATCAGTGCCCTTCCTGCGCCCCAGCACCCCTGATATCAGCGCCCTTCCTGTGCCTAGACACCCCTGATATCAGTGCCATTCCTGTGCTTAGAAGCTCCTGATATCAGTGCCCTTCCCGTGCCCAGGCATCCCTGAAACTAGTGCCCTTCCTATTCTGTAGCCTCAACAGTATGTCTGCAGTGTAAGATCATCTAAGGCACTGTTGCCTCTGTCAGGGTCACTGCTGTGCTGCTCACTGTTCTCCTTGCTGGAGGGGAAGTCGTAACTGGTGACCTGCAGTGCAAGGCTCTCCCTGCATCTATGTCATCCATCCTGAGGATCTGTGCTTCCGCCACCTCTATTCATTACTCCTCCAGTCTTCAGATCACAAGGAATCAAGGGGACAGCCCCTACAAGAGGAAGCAAAGCTCTGCTCCTCTACCAAGATGGCCACCTCCACAGACAGTGTAGAAGGCAGCATGGTAAGCCAATAAGTGTGAAAAGATTTTTGGGCACAGTACAGGCCCTCTTTAGGGGTAAAAATGAAAAAATAAACCACAGATGTCCTCTATATCATGCAGGAACCTAAGGCTCTGGGGTTCACCCCGGGACCCCCAATCTGCACCCATCTGAACTGACATCTGCTGTACATTGAATGCAGTAAATGGTTTGGCAGTGCACACAGCTAGGGGAGGAGGTCATCCTAAATGCCACGCTGGCCATCATTAGAAGGCCTGAACCCATTAGAACCCTTCTGCTCCCACTCTGGGAATTCATTACATTTCAAGTTCTCTACGAATGTAAAAGCTGGCGCTGGTCCAAGGACTGGAAATCATCTCATTACATATCTGATTAACCCTCCACAGCATAACGTCTACATTACGGTGTATTAATCAGTAGATTTCACAGTCTGTGGATGAGTGCCGCCTTCAGCATTCAGACAATATGGTGGGCATCCGGGAGCCGTAGCAGCAGCACACATCACTTGCACAGACATCGGGTCCCTTCCAGGGCCACGGTCATTAGGAAGGGTCATGCTGTGCTCCTTATATCCTCACAGTGTTCCGGGGAAGGGAAGCTTTCTCCTGTTTTATGACGTGTAAAGCAGTAAAAACAAAGATACTTTGGACGGTGCAGAGTGACCACAGATGATAGCCCAGCAGTTCTGAAGTCTGCCCGCGGTGGAACCATAAAAATCAAAGCTTTCAGGTCTGTGAAACCCAACTAAGCAAAAATAATGCACCAGTTATTAAGGAATCAAAGGCGAGGGAATGAGCTCCAGGTTATCCTGAGAAGAGGGAATTACACCGTGCTAATACAATCCAGCATTGGAGGTCAGAGGAGGCCCTGCAAGGTTCCCACATTCCGGGTCATATGGACTATAAACTGGGGAAAAGGGAACGGTTTATATATATTGAGCCATGAAAATCACCAAAAATGGAAGAATGAACAGCAAATCCAATATGGAAGACGGCAGTCTGCTACAATATCCCAGGAATGGTAAGAGCAGACAACGATCGTGACTAGAAAAATGGAGGCCAAAGACCAGACTTCAACCCGCTATAAAACCTTATTACCAAGAGTCTACACACAACCCGCCAGGACTCCTTCCCCTCGATGGAGTCTACACACAACCCGCCAGGACTCCTTCCCCCGATGGAGTCTACACACAACCCACCAGGACTCCTTCCCCCGATGGAGTCTACACACAACCCACCAGGACTCCTTCCCCCGATGGAGTCTACACACAACCCGCCAGGAATCCTTCCCCTCGATGGAGTCTACACACAACCCGCCAGGACTCCTTCCCCCGATGGAGTCTACACACAAACCCACCAGGACTCCTTCCCCCGATGGAGTCTACACACAACCCACCAGGACTCCTTCCCCCGATGGAGTCTACACACAACCCGCCAGGAATCCTTCCCCCGATGGAGTCTACACACAACCCGCCAGGAATCCTTCCCCTCGATGGAGTCTACACACAACCCACCAGGAATCCTTCCCCCGATGGAGTCTACACACAACCCGCCAGGACTCCTTCCCCTCGATGGAGTCTACACACAACCCGCCAGGACTCCTTCCCCCGATGGAGTCTACACACAACCCGCCAGGAATCCTTCCCCCGATGGAGTCTACACACAACCCGCCAGGAATCCTTCCCCCGATGGAGTCTACACACAACCCGCCAGGAATCCTTCCCCTCGATGGAGTCTACACACAACCCGCCAGGACTCCTTCCCCTCGATGGAGTCTACACACAACCCACCAGGAATCCTTCCCCCGATGGAGTCTACACACAACCCGCCAGGAATCCTTCCCCTCGATGGAGTCTACACACAACCCCGCCAGGACTCCTTCCCCCGATGGAGTCTACACACAACCCGCCAGGAATCCTTCCCCTCGATGGAGTCTACACACAACCCGCCAGGACTCCTTCCCCTCGATGGAGTCTACACACAACCCGCCAGGACTCCTTCCCCCGATGGAGTCTACACACAACCCACCAGGAATCCTTCCCCCGATGGAGTCTACACACAACCCGCCAGGACTCCTTCCCCTCGATGGAGTCTACACACAACCCGCCAGGACTCCTTCCCCCGATGGAGTCTACACACAACCCGCCAGGGCTCCTTCAACTGATGCTGCGATTAACTGTCAAAGAGAAGACTAGCAGGTTGTGAGTAGACCAGCATTAAAGGTTTACGGCGGGACTAGCGTCTGGTGTGTGACCATCGGTTTTCAGTTTGTATGGAGGGGAGAGCGGTGTACAAGAGAGGCCTGGATAGGAGGGACTGAGCCGAGGGGAGGGCGATGTACAAGAGGCCTGGAGTGGAGGGACTGAGCCGAGGGGAAAGCGTGTACAAGAGGCCTGGAGTGGAGGGACTGAGCCGAGGGGAAAGCGTGTACAAGAGGCCTGGAGTGGAGGGACTGAGCCGAGGGGAAAGCGTGTACAAGAGAGGCCTGAAATGGAAGGACTGTAAAGCTCCTTTTCACTCATTGCCTTGAGGAAGCGAAGAGTCTAGGGGAGATCCGGCACAGCACCGGGGCACACCTGCGATATGGGTTCTGAGTGGTAGATGTGTATTGTTTAGAGGCTGGCCTCTATCTATAGGTGAGAAAAGTCAGATATCAGAGGGGGTTAGGGGATGAAAGGTAGTTGTGGGGTGAGCCTCGGACCAGCTGGCCATTGGCATCCATAGGTGGGGATGAGAACAGTCATATAGAAGTCTCGTGGTAAGTTATGTTTGATCCACATTTCTCCTTATAGCCGACAACCAGGATGTTCATGTGCCTCTCATATCACCAGGTCATATTTCTGTGGGAGAACCTTCACTGAGATCCCACAGAAGATCCCATCCACATGCACTTCACAGCTGGTCATATTTCTGTGGGAGAACCTTCACTGAGATCCCACAGAAGATCCCTTCCACACGCACCTCTCAACTAGCCCACATCTCCAGGAACAGCCGTACAAATGGCTGTTGCCTGACGAAGCAGATGAAGCAATTTACACAATTCCAGAAGAAAAAATAAATAAAGAACATATGAGGGTTCCAGTCGCCTGATTGACTTGGTGACCATGGCTGGATTTTAAACAAGGCATCAAATGACTGCACACAAGAGCTGGGACGCAGCCCCGCGCACACCGCTCAAGAGAGAAAAAAAAAAAAAAAAAGTTTATTTGTTCTAAATGAGCAGCAAAATTCTTCTGCCAACACGCACGATGACCAAACTGTTACTGAACATTTACTGAACTAGATCATACTCGATGAAAAGGTGGAGGGAAACATGGTCAACAAGGGTGCAAAAAAGGAGCAGAATGGAGTCCAATATGGACAGGAATAGGACTAAACCAACACGGGAAACCCAACCGTATGTACATGGGGGAAACCCAACTGTACATACATGGGGGAAACCCAACTGTACATACATGGGGGAAACCCAACTGTACATACATGGGGGAAACCCAACCCATACATGGGAGGAAAAAACCCATTGGAGCCTTTCTGCTCTCCCCCACAAGATTTCTCCTCCTCCATTATGTGACAAAGTCCTGATCAAGGAGTGAGAGGGCAATGGTCTCTGAAACA